AAAAAAAGTCAGAATTCTGAGATTAAAGTTAGAATTCTGAGATTAAAGTCAGAATTCCGACTTTTTTTCTCATATTATACTGAAATAAAATATAAAAATCATTTAACTTTTTAATTTTTCAGTGGCCCTAATCCTCTTCCGTCCTCCTCAGAGGTGGGAGTGGTCCTGTCGGTAAATGGAAGCGCGTCACCGCAGTCCACAGCAGCGCTGTAATTTCTGCGCAGGTCCATTCTTCAGTTAGAAAAAATAAATAAATAAAAAAAGATCAACAAAAGATCAGCGCTTCACCCTCTGTGCCCTCACCTCTGAGGCCAACCTCCGCCCCCTCTGTCATTTTATTTTTACGTTTTCCAGCGTCACATCCCCCTGGCCTAGCCGGAGGAATGTAGAGTCAAAGGAGCTTTAAAAATAGCATCCTCCGCTCTAACAGCGCTGCTCCGGAGGCTCCGCAGCACTCTGCTGGGAGAGGCAGGAATGCGAAGATGGCTGCAGACCTGGGAGAGTTGCTGGTCCCCTTCATGCCCACCATCAGAGTCCCCAAAACAGGAGACAGGGTCTACAAGAGCGAGTGCGCCTTCTCCTTCGACTCCCCAGTAAGTGACACCCACACATGCAGGCTGCTCAACGGGCAGGAGGCGCATGTTCTGGGAGGAAAGGTGCGTCCAAGATTGAGCAGCACACGGCTATTTGCTGTGATTTAACGTTTAACGTTCGTGGATCTCAAGGGACATAGATAGTGTTTACATCTCCAAGGAAGGGTGGAGGGTTTTTTCTTCTATTTGTTTTCCCTTACAGAGCAACTCCCAAAGGCCTTCATTGCCTTTTTTTATTGATATTGTGTCCTAAACTTAATTTAACTTCCAGAAATATTCCAAAAGATTTTTACACTTAATGCCTAAACACAGGCTGTTAAGTGTGGTGGGCTGCTTAGTCTTTTAAAACCTCTCTTTTGTAAATTATTATATATTTTTTTTCAAATTGCTCTCATTTTATACTGAAGTACATGTTTGTTTACTTTTATATCTAACAGCAATTAAGTGCAGGGGCGGAGCTAGATGGGGGACCAGGGGTGGCGATGGCCAGCCTTAGCCAATCATTGGCCACCCCTACCACTTTCCCCCTAATATTCAAGTGGAATATTCAAAACATTTAAATTTTTCATATATTACTTCCTATTTTTTTTCATATATTCATAATTATTTGATAGCAAAAACACTGTGGTTAATTATGTACATCAATATAATAACATTAAAGATGATAAGTACAGAATTCCTGCTCTTTTCAGAACTAGATTTTTGTGTTTTATGGGTTAAAGAGAAAATGATGTGTCTGCATTCATCTAGGAGTCTTTAGTGGAATCATAGCTATAACTATTAATAACAATTCTAATAAAAATGGATTAAATAATCAATTGATATTGATATTAGTACTTGTAAATATCAATTTTGATAAAAGTTGGTAAGTAATGACAAAGGAAAAGATGTCCGCCCCAGAACTCAAACCTGAAAGAATTGCATCCACTATACCTTTTATCTAGAAAGCATGGATGTTTAAATATATGCATCTATTTGTTAGCAAAGGCTGTAGGAAAGTATAGTTTGTCTTTATTTAGAAAATATGGATGTTTTGATCATTCATTTTCCTGTTGGAATAGTGTAGATTGACCCTGAGATTCTGGTGCCTATCCATTACACAAATGTTCTGGCTACGCCTCTGATTATGTGGGGTCAACATGTTAATTTTACATCATGTTAATTTTTACTTTTTGCAATATTATCCTTATTGGACACATACTCAAAACAATTAACATTCTGTAAGCCAGCTTTTAAATAAGCAACAATGTTGAACTAATGAAAAAATGTCATGCTGTTTTTGTTTAACGTGGATGAAGGGTCTCCTTTGCTCAAAACTTTCCTTCCAATCCTATGTGGACTGAAAACCGTTTTTAAAGGTGACTCAGCTGTCTGGAGTTCATCATGCTGGCCGGAGGACTGGTTTATTTTTATCCTTGTGCTGTTGAAGCTCAAATGTCACTCTGAACTACTTAAAGGTTTAACACTGGGGTTTATGCAGCGTATACTGATTGCAGATTTGAGGTTTCTTTTTGGATAAACATTTTTTTTATGTGTTTTTGTCTCTGGTGCTTAGTGTGTAAGGTGCAAGAGGATGTTTTTTTTTTTGCTTTTTAAAAAAAAGTGTTTAAAACTAAACCACATTTTGTTTGTCATTAATTTATACCAATCAATCAAAAAAATTATAATAGTGACATCATGTTTGAACATCTTATTTTAGTAAAGCAGATCATGCATTACCTCAAAGCCTTAAAGCTTTATCTGTGGCAAGAATTAAAATATTAAAACAGCACAGAAAAATGTTTTTGTTTTATGTTTTTTGAACAAAGTTGGGGAGTGTTGGCCTAGTGGTTAGAGCAGTGCGTTTGTGCTCTGAGAAGGTTGCAAGTACCTGGTTTAATCCCCACAGGCTCCATTCTGGGCCTCTGAAGAAAACCCTTAACCCCACACTTCTCCCCGGACACCACACAGTGGCAGCCCACTGCCCCCAAGGGGATGGGTTAAATGCAGAAAGGTCTGGAAGATAAATAGTTTGTTTGCTTTTCAACTAACAAAGAAAAAAATATATATTATCAGGGTAACCCCTTATGTTGATAAATATTAAAACAACAAGGTGCAGCTAAAGAGGTGATATATTGTTATATATATATATATATATATATATATATATATATATATATATATATATATATATATATATAAATAACAGGAGCAACTACAAATCTTAGTCTTCATGTCATGCATAAGTTGTCTTTTTTTTTCTTCTTCTGTGCAGCTAATGTCACTGTTTCTTTTTGTCTGCAGGAGTCCGACGGAGGCCTGTATGTGTGTATGAACACATTCCTGGGCTTCGGACGGGAACATGTGGAGAGACATTATCGCAAAACAGGACAGAGTGTTTACATGCACCTCAAACGACACGTTAAAGAGGTATGTTCTGTCCCCTCCCACAGAGGTATTAGAAACATGCTTTTATTTGTAAATAAAAAAAACAAAACAACTATGAGTAGTAAGAACAATAAGGAATAGAATTCCTATTCCTTATTGTTCTTACTAAAAATAAAAGACGATTGAATAATATAGACACAATAGAAAAGTCAAATTCAACCACAGTACAAACAATAATGTGTAAATTTGGTCTCTATATTTTTTAATTTTTTGTATTAAAAGATTTTATTTATGTTATTTCAAGTTGAGAGAAAATGAGATAGTCAAAAGTAACAGATATATTGCAACTGATTATCTTTATTTCCAAAGACAAACGGTAAAAAAATAGCTTCTTGTACAGAAAATTCCTGAAGACAAAGGAAACTTGGGATAAGAAAAAAATACTTTTTTTTTCATGTTTTAACAAGTATGGAAATTTCGTTTTTTTAATTCTTAGGCTTTGTACTATTAAATTAATAAAATTTTTCTTAGGCCAAGCTTTGATTGAACAAATTGCTGATGTTAACAACAATGATGTCTGTTGATATAGGAAAAAACAAAATTTTATGGTTTTGGAGTAGAAAACAAACTTCAAACAAATAATATTGAAATTAAAATACTTTTTCACCACTAAGTTTTTTGTTTTAATTGGTAGCTTGATCACTTGGATGACGTATTGCCTAAATAAAGATAAAATATAAAAAAAGGTGCTATTTTACATGAAACAACAACATAAAAAAAAGCTTAGTTATAATGTCTTGGTTTCAAATATCCATAACCTGATATTATTTGTATGAGTTCATTTGTAGAACTATGGAGGGCCACTTTCCAAACCGTTGTCAGATTTATAATTTTATTACAAAAAATGAGCTACACATCTGATAAATAATAAAATGAATGAATTATCAGAGGCTGTATAAATTTTAAAACAGAAATGTTTGACTGCTCTTGCAGCTCAGCAGTGGAAAAATGCTACTGTAGAAATGAAAAGATGCTGTTGACTAGTTATTTTAAAGAAGAAAATGATGTCACATTATATCTTATGACTAAATGATTATGTACTTTCAGATGAAGGTAAGTAAATATAATTTTTGTCCCTGTTGTGCTTTCGTTGCTCATAGTAAACTTATGGTAACTTGTTGAACCCTTTCATGTTAGAGGTAGCTATATAAGCATCCTGCTTCTGTTTTTTTGTTGATCACAAAACTGTTTATGTTTAATGAAGCATCAAATGTTGTGTGGTTGAAAGAAAATAAACTGAACTAAATCATTATTCCTGATTCGATTTCCCACATGATAAAAAGGAAAATTCCAACCAAAGGGTTTATCCAAACCAGAAATAAATTTTGGCCCTATCCAGCCAAATATACAACCATTAATATTACATCACCTTTGGAAAAACTGCTTATCATCATCTTCAAAAACTTGATAGGAAACTTTCCATTAATGAAGAACAATGATTGTTATTTAACAATTTAAATTCCTGAAAAATCCAACTTTTGAAAGAAGAGGATGAATACGTACCTAACTATAAGAAAGTAAGAACTAAAATAATGGATTACAGGTGCTTTTGGTGACATTCTGTTCTAGAAATGAAATATAATTATTCAATAAAAAGTCGAAAAACAACTAAAAAAATAATCATCACTCACTCTGCTTGTATTAGTAAATAGGTTTTAAGTAATAAAAAGGATTTTGTAAATTGTGCAAAATAGTTTTTGTTTAAAGAACAAATCAACAGAGGATGTAAGACCTTTTGATGGACAGTGATCTGCATCTTTTTATATCTTTTAGGTTTGTAGAGATTTTAAAACAATGGAACCTTTTTTTTCCGATATCCATTTTTCTATGTAAAATTGGCAGTTAAATTGTTCTTAAGTAATAACGATCACACATGGACTCAAACAAGTCCTTAATTTTTTTAGCTGATGGCGTTTTTCCTCTCTGCCTCTAATTGCTATCAGATCAGCTCTGCTTTGCAAAGAGAGGCTATTTCCATGCCTGGATCTGGCCACAAACAGCTGCTGCACATTCTGCAGGCTCCTGTGTCTGCGCTGTTCTTCTTTTGTGGGAGTCCTCTTGGTCCTGTTTGTGTAAACATTCTTACTTTCTCAACTTTGTCTGGTCAGATCAATGTGAAGTTAGCTGAGTTGGGTGCACAGGTTGCTTGGTGGCACTGTGTGGATTTTGCTGACTAGGAGCTACCAGATTAATGATTTCTGGAAAATATGGCATTTTGCTTTCTGTTTTTACCTGATCCTGATAGATGGTTTTTTAAAATGACTTGTTTTTGCTGTGATGCTAGAGATTACAAAAAATGATAAAGAGCAGAAAATTATAAAGATGCACAAGTCTGGGGTTTCTCCCATGCCTTGTCTGACCTGAACACCAAACATCCAGTCTGCAGACAGAAAGGATGTGGATTAACTGGTCTACTGGTGTCATCAGAGCTACCTCAAGCTTAACTTGCTCGAGAAAGTGGAGATGATGGTGGGTTTCTGGAAAACATCCCCCAACCCTACCTTTGTTATTTGGAGGAAGTGAGATTTGACATGCCACAAAATTAGCCAGCGAGGCTGGGACTCAAACCTGTGATGGTCACGTTGAGGACCAAAGCCTCCATACTAGGCTCGCCAACTTAACCCCTGCACCGCCGCCATGTCAAAAGTTTTCCTTTTCAGAAAATAAGTTTTTGCCTAACATCCATAGTTATTTGCTTGGTCCTAACCTTTTTTAACTGAGTCTGTTAAATTCAGGCTGTATAATGGGTAAGTCAGTCTGGCTGGTCAGCCTTGTCCAAACGATATGATGGTATACAAAGGGAATCATCAGGGCGGACCTTCCACCATCCATGACCTGTACAGGTCAGTGGGTAAAATAAAAAGGCAGCTAACATCTTTCCTGAACACAAGCTGCATAGACTTTTACCTTCAGGTCAGAGCTACAGATTCACAAAAACTTCTCAATCTGGAGAAACACTAAAAACACCATGTTTACATTTTATCACTACTGCACTTTAGAAATGTCATGAGAGGTGTACTGAACAAAATTTAATTTTGTATACACTCTGTGTGTACAAAATGACAATAAAGTTTGTCTAAGTCTAAGTAACTCGGAGTACCTGGAGAGATACATTTATTCCAGGTATTCCTAGTGTTTTGTGTTCCTTCAGACTGAGGCATTTTATGAATCCTGACATATTTATAAATGTTTGCTATTTGTGTGTCTGTGTATAAAAAATATCCAATTTTATAATTGTTACTACTTGTTTCTTGCAGAAAGCCACAGGAGCAGCAGGAGGTGCCATCCCCAGACGAAGAAATGGAAAAGTGTTTCTAGGTGGGTTAGCTACCATATAGAGAAGCATGTAAATACTTCTATATTGCAATGTGAAAGTCTGACCAAAAGAAAAAAAACAAAAAAAAACAAAAAAAAAACAACAAGATTTTAAAGTTGCCTAAGTAATTATGCAGAATAATAGCTTGCATATTGTTATGGATTAATAATACTTGAAAAGGATTCAGCCTTTTCTGCTTGGATTGTCAGCACCCTCTGGAGTGTGACAAAGAATACCCCTGACCTTAATATAGAGCTGAATACTTGAGCTTAAATAATAAAGAATTACATTAAGATGTTTAATTTTTTTTAAGTTTGAATGTGAATCATATCTACAAGAAGGAACATGAGAAAAGAAAACTGCTTTTTTACAATTATGACACACCTTTCTTCCCTTAAATGTGAATTCTTGGTATTTTTCTTAAAATGCAAAATTTTTGAACAACCTGTTAGAATGCAAGACTTTTTGATGTAAACCATGATCAATGATTTTAAGATGTTTATTCTCTGCTTAATATGAGAACATGATTTAAATGAAATGCAAATCTGTTAGAGGGATGGTAGTAAACATGCATGAGGTGCAACAACCTTGCTTTTATATCACAAACCCTTAAAATCACCCCTCAGTCTTCTTGGAGTTGTACACATTGTTGTGCAAAATGACTCAAACCCTCTCAGATTGTGACGTTTATTGTCCACATCCCTGTTCAGATGACCCTATGAGTGTCAGGTGTATCTCTGAATTCTGCTTTGGCCATTTTTAAGCTTTAATTTTCTGCCATAGAGGCAGTTTTATTCAGAATTGATCGTATAAGTGAACTCTAGGCTGCTGTGGAAGGAATATCTTTTCATCCTCAGCTTTTAGCAGACTGCTGAAGTTTTTGGCTCAAAACAAACTGACATTTGGAGCCCTTTATATATCATAAAAGCAGATGCAGATGTACTTACAAAATCATAACTGCACACCATAATATTGCCAACACCATGCCTCTATATGTTTATAGTGTTTTTTTTTTGTTTTTGTTTTTTTGGATATGCACATTGTTGCTTTCCTGCCAAACATATCTATAGGAACCATAACAAAACCCCCCAAAAGGCTTAGGAAGATTGTAACGAGGTCTGCACAATTTATTACAAAGCCAGCAAATCTATCCAAGCTGGGGCACCTATGTGCAGATATATGAAGTTGTTGACAAACGTAAAACTCAATCAGTACTTTCCAGTTACTTGTTGGCGATTTCTGGTTCCACATCTACAAAGTTTCTGTCAATTCTATCTGGTAGGGGACAAGAAACATCCCTAAGAACTACTTAAAAAAAGTCGAACCCAGATTGTTTTGAGGAGTAAAATGAAGTTTTTCCTACAGAAAGTAATTCATAGTAGCAGAGTGTCTTTAGTTGTCAGTCTTCTCATTGATCCTGTGATTTAACATCAGTATCGCTCTGTTTGAAAGTCGACCCATTACAGCTCTGTCACTGTTTTTGTTTGCTGTCGGCCAGCTGCCGTCCTAATCAGCCTCAACCCAAAGCGTTGGATATTTCCACTGACGAAGACTCTCCACCAACTTCTGTCCTCTAATAATAGCCCACTTATTTGTATATGTGGTTGGTAACTGTTCTAAATCAAAGCTTGGCCTACCCACTTCTCCTCCTCCTTGGGGTTGTGGTGGGGGTGGGTTACCCTGGGTGCCTCCTCCCATCCCAGCCACCAGCCTCTCAGCTGCCACCACCTGTCAGTGTCCTGTCGAGGCTTCAGAATGAACTGATGACGCAGCTCGCCAAGGCCCAGGTGTCTTGCCCCCCAGCTTCTATGTTTGAGGCATTCCTTCATCTCATTCTCTGCTCCATTCATCTTAATCTGCTTTCACTCCCAGTTTATCCACCACACGTTTCCTCTCATATCTGATAAATATCCAACTGAATAATCCGTTCTTTGGGATGTTTCTTACTGTCCCTTTAAGATCTTTGATCTTATTCGTCATCTCCATAGTGGTGATGTGATCTAATCTGACAGCTGGTTGCAAACCCACGTGTCTCCATCTAACCATTTTGAATAACAATGATTTTTATAATAAAACTGTTAAAATCTGGGATGAGTTTCTTTGTTTTGATGAATTAAATAATTTACATAATAACCCTAGATTATTATTTTTTATAAAATAAAGAAATAATGCTTTTGTCGTCAAAGTTAATAATGTATCTTAAATTTTCCCTTTGTAATCAAACAACTGTAGTAATTTCTTTTTGTAAAATCATATTTATCTTCATACATAATAATATTTGTACATTGAAATAAACTAAATAAAAATGAAAATATATATTTTTTTATTTTTCTTTTGAATCTTTTAGTCATTATGTCATCAGTCATTCATGCTTGCTCCCTTAAAGATTTAGAGCTAAACCGGGATTTTAATGGCGAGGACTATGAGTATGAGGATGAGGCGAAGCTCGTCATTTTCCCAGACCACTTCGAGATCCCTTTACCAAATATTGAGGAGCTGCCAGCTCTGGTCAGTGAGTTGATTCTGTGTGTTTCTGTGCATGCTGCAAGGGAAAGGTGCACTTGGTGGTTCCCTGGCTCTATTGGAGGCACGTCTCTACATTTTATAAAAAAAGGGATTTATAAAAGTGTTTTTTCCTGCAAAAATATCAGTGTTTGACCTGCAGCTTTTTAAAAGGTTGGCTGGAAAAGAGTTTCTTTTCTTTTAATTTTAATCCATGAATACAGAATAAAATGGTTAGAAACAGACATTTCCTCTAATGAATCAAGTATATTTGACCATCACCCTGCTAGAATAAGATGCTTGTCTTAATGTAGACTTCCACATCTAAATGCAAAACATTGAGCCACATATTTGAGAGATCTAGATAAATTACAGAACATGATTTATGTACTTAAATGACTAGATTGTCACTTTTGAGAAAGGCCTGTAATAGAAATAGCTTTTATTGTTTTGATAAAAAAAAATCTTATCACAAACAGGATGTAACGTGACCAAACATTTGAATTGAATGCAATGTCAGTTATGCAATAATATACCCTAAAGTGCTTAAAAGTTAAATCCTCCATAAATAGATATTTTAGATGCCAAACTTTTTGTTTGTTTTTAGGGCCTTTATGTTATTGATCAGATTACAATCCTTATTTAATTCCTCCAAATGAGAGGGAGATGTATGCTGCAGAAAAGACACAGAATATCTTTGAAGTTCTGAGTTTTGAGAGACTAAAATCTATCTAAACACGGTTTTAGTATTTTCTTTTAAGTTAAACACAATTCTGGGGAACCACAAGGTGCACATGGTGGTGTTTTAAAAAAAAAAATCTTTTTAAAGATATGTCTTTTCTTTGTTGCTTTTTTCTTGCATGGAGCTCAGAATTGACTCATCTTAACTTTTAAGAGATTTTCTTTGGCATGTCTGTTTGCTGGAATGTTTTTGACACCTGATATAAGGTTTACAGATTTATTCTCACTCTGCTTGATTGAATGGTGATGCTTTACTTGTCAGTTTTGTCTGTGGATGGATAAACTTGAAATAGCTTCAGTATGATTAGGGATTAAAAACTTGCAGATGTTTATTCAGTTGGAAGAGGTGTCCATTTGTGACAAATTTTTATTTGCATCACAATGATACTCTTCCTGGCATAGGCCTTGCATGGCTAAATTTTCAGTTTGTATTCACTGTTTTATGTGAAATTGTAGTTTACTTAAACTTTCTAAACTCACCTGTGGGTGTCGTCCCATCAATGCTCTACTGTGTTGTCTGGTGTCCAGGTGACTATTGCCTGTGATGCAGTACTAAATGCACCTTCAGCTTACAAGAAACAGGAGCCTGAGTCTTGGGAAGAGGAGATCCAGGTTTCTAGACATGCCAGAAGCCTCAGACAGCTGGATAACGGGGTCCGGATTCCACCTAGGTAGATCTAACACATTAAAACTGTGTAGAAATCATAAAATATTGTTACTATTTAAACAAATGTGTGTGTTTGTATTACCATAAAACACAGAAATTGTTTTAGGTAAGCTAGAAATTAAACATCTGACCTCCTGATAAGAGGATGAGCGCTGTTCTTACTGAGTCATGGCTCCCTTGTGCTACATCAGAAAATACAGTCAGTCAGAGTTTGTTGCACTGCTGAAAACTGTTATTGAAAAATCTTGAGCTGTCAGAACTAAAAATATGTCTTCCCTGTTTAAAAGTGGATAAAAGGTGAAATGATGATGTACTAACTTATCCTCAATGTGTTTGCCAATGTCTGTCTTCCAAGCGGTTGTAAAGCAATTCTTGTGGTCACTTAAGTTATATACATATATTAGACATTAATAAAACTTGGGTGCAAAGGTTAATATTGCACAGATTGTTATCATGTTGGAGAACCCTGTAACTTATTTAAAATCATGTCGATTTTTGAGCTGTCTGGATTTGGAGAAAACTTCAATGCCATCTATTATTATATCAAATTTTCTCTGGATACCTGGTATCAGATTTTATGGTAATGTTGAGAAAAGCATTCTGTCGTATTTAGGATAAAATAAATTTAATTTCATGAAATATGATTTAAGTTCCATTGGTTTTATTTCTGCTTTAATGGTTCATTGACTACTAGTTTATGTTGTGTCAGTTTATCATTGTGGAAGAGCTTTTAGTCACTCTATGTAAATGAAACAAGTCTTGTGTTACTCTCTCTGAGATTCCTGTAATATCCACCCTAGCTGAAGTGTAGCTGAAGCTTTGAAGAAGCATGACTTCACGTCACCTAAGATGAACAGCTGTCAAAGCTGCCATCTGAGTTGAGATGATCAATGAAAGGTATTCATTAATTTTCTGCATCTGTGTTTCTGCTGTCAGTGGCTGGAAGTGTCAGAAATGCGAGATGAGAGAAAACCTGTGGCTGAACCTGACTGACGGATCGGTTCTTTGTGGGAAATGGTTCTTCGATGGGAGCGGGGGAAACGGACATGCTCTAGAGCACTACAGAGAGACCAACCACCCCCTGGCTGTTAAACTGGACACCATCACTCCAGATGGAGCAGGTCTGAGAAACCCAACATGCCGTTGTACCGATTGATCAGTCCGCAGTGGGATTTTTGCTTTTTTCTAGTTTGCTATGACCACCAAAAACAACTTTTTTTGTACATTTTGGGCTTTCAGAATCAAAACATTATTTGGATTTTCATTATTTACATTACTTTATAAAGCTGCAAAAATTTTTAGAAAATGAGTGATATGAGTCTTAGATGTTTACCGAAATACCCCTAGTAAATTCAGAATATATTAATTTTAAAGGTCCACTCTTTTATTAATTTATCGCAGACCTTTTTTTTATTGTTTATCAAAAATATGTCATTAGTCAAGAAAAAATATTAGGGCTGGATAAATATCTTCATTGTTGGATTCTATTTTATCCATTGTTCCCTAATCCTACCTTTGTAAGGGGTGGATCAGAGAGGCTGTTGCTGTAAAGTAGGGTTAGCGCCTAGCAAAATGGCCTTGAATGACTTCAAAGGACAGACCTTTTTTTTACTAAACAAACTAAGTCAATAGTTAGATTTTAAAAAACAAGCATAAAGTAAAAACTATGATCAGACTTCCCCCTGCACAACAAATATAATAGCTAAATAATGTCACAACTAAGCAGCTGCATATAAAAACCCTTTCGAGAGATAAATATGTTTTTTTATGGTATAGTAACCACTGCAATATTTAACCTGGAGTCTTCCAGTATGTTTTATATCAGGTTAATTATCACATTGTATCATGATTACAATAAACTCTAATTGTTTGTCTAAATTAAAAAAAAAAAGGTCTGCAGCATGTTTGGGATTCTTAATTTATTCCAATTGCCATGTGAACATTGATATATTCATTAGTATGATTAAAATTTATTGATTGATGTTAAGTGGTAAAAACTGTACAGTAAAAAATAATGGCACTAATGATTTACTCACTTTTTTATTATAGATGTTTACTCGTTTGAGGAGGAAGAGGCTGTATTGGACCCCCACATATCAGAGCACTTGTCACATTTTGGAATAGACATGCTCCAGATGCAGCGGAGAGTAAGTTGATTCATTTCACTAGTTTACTATTACTTAACTATATCATCACTGTTTAACCCAAAACATTCTTTAAAAATACTGTTTTTAAAGAGAATGTGTCAAAAATATGCACTGCTCCAAAAAAAAATAAAGTGAGCACAAACAATACCATATAACTTCAATCAAATCAAACTTCTGTGAAATAAAACTGTCTGAAGTAACACTGAGGCTACATTCACACTGCAGCCTGAAGTGACCCAAATCCGATTTTTTTGCCCATATGCGACCTGGATCTGATCTTTTCATGGCAGTCTGAACAACACAGATCCAATTTTTTCCAATCCGACCCAGGCCACTTGGCTATGTGGTCCTGAATCCGATACGAATCAAATCTTTTCAAATGCGACCTGTGTCTGAACGGCAAGGTTGGATTCATCCGACCTGAACGTCATTAATAACTGACAAAGGCATAAGGTATTATGAGTCTTGCTACGCAGAAGCGGCAAGAAAAAACGTCCACAAACAGTTAGAAACAGACTCCATGAGGATGATATGAGGCCCTGACGTCCATAGATGGGGGTTGTGCTCATAACCCAACACCGTGCAGAATGCTTGACATTTGGTAGAGACCACCAGAATTGGCAAATTCACCAGTTGTGCCCTGTGCTCTTCACAGATGAAAACAGGTTCATACTGAGCACAGACATGACAGTGTGGAGACAACGCAGAGAGTGATCTGTTGCCTGCAACATGCTTCAGCATGACTGGTTTGGCAATATGTCAGTAATGGTGGGGGGTGGCATTTCTTCGGAGGGCCACACAGCCCTCCATGAGATCACCAGACCCCTTGTGAGACCAAATGCTGGTGCTTCCTCCTAATGCAGGATGATGCTAGACTTCACATGGCTGGTCTGTGTCAGCAGTTACTCCAAGATGAAGGCATTGAAGCTATGGACTGGCCCACCTGTTCCCAAGACCTACGATTGAACACATTTGGGACATCCTGTCTCGATCCATCCGCCAATGTCACGTTGCACCACAGGAGTTGGCAGATGCTTTAGTCCAGGTCTGGGAGGAGATCCCTCATTAGGAGCATGCCCAGGTGTTGTAGGGAGGTCATACTGGCACATGGAGCCATAGAAAATACTGAGCCCTATTTTGACCTGTTTTAAGGACATTACACCAAAGTTGGATCAGCCTGTAGAGTGTTTTTCTATTTTGTTTGATTTTGTTGTAAGCACATTCAACTTAACAAAGAACAAAGTATTCACTGAGAATATTTCATTCATCAGATCTAGGATGCTTTATTTGAGTGTTCCCTTTATTTATTTTTTTAGCAGTGCCTTGGTTTATTAGGGCTATGGTAGATGTTTTGTCTGTATTTAAACTTTACTAAGAAACTAAAAACTGCCTTCCCCATCCCTGTCGCCTCCTATTTCAGACAGAGAATGGACACCACACAGACAATAACCCACGACCGCGAGTCAGTGAGTGGGAAGTGATCCAGGAGTCTGGTATGAAGCTGAAGGCAGTGTATGGTTCTGGTTACACTGGCATCAAAAACCTGGGAAACAGCTGCTACCTCAGCACAGTACTACAGGTCCTTTACAGCATCCCAGATTTCCAGAGGATGTGAGTACCACATGCCATGATGCATTCACATCATGGTTTTTTTTTTTACATACACTTTTTAAATATTTTTTATTGGTTTTAACGATGATATTTTTTTTGTTTCTGTTTTTCTGTTAAAAAAAAATATATTTTTTGTTATCTTAAGCCAAATATTTGATTTTATTATATTTATGATCTTCTAATAAATAGATAATTATATGCAGCAGTGCTCAACCAGAAAGTTGTAGAATAGATTTACTGTATTATCCGCACTATAAGGTGCACGGATTATAAGCACACCTTTAATGAATTGCCTTTTTTAACATTCTTTCACATATAAGGCGCAACGCACTATAAGGCGCATAGAATAGAAGCTACAGTAGTGGCTGGGGTACCGTTATGCATCCTCTAGATGCAGTTGAGCTAAAGAGAACGTCAGTAAAACAGTCAGATAAGTAAGTCAAACTTTATTCATACATTATGGTATTAACGATATGACCAACAAATGCTGTCTCCCCATGGATTTGGCAGCTGCTCCCTGTAGTTGCAAGATCTGTTGAAGCTTAATCTTCATCCATACATAGGGTTCTCCAGATTATAAGGCACCGTGTCGGTTTTTGAAAAAATTGAAAGCTTTTAGGTGCCCCTTATAGTGTGGAAAATATGGTATTTTTATTGAATTACAAAACCTATTTTTGATTATTAAGGGAGTAGGGATCTTTGAAAAGTTATAGCTCAATTGATAATGTGTAGCACTCAGGTTTATTTCTACACCGTATCAGTCCATTTGGGGAAAGGAGGGACATTCAGTAGCACCTTTCAAGCTGATTGGGCAATGCAACACCTGGTGCCTGCCTTCCAAAATTTTGTGAAAAGTCCCGTTAAAAAATGAAATAGCATTCTAGGTCACATTACTCAATAAATTCTGCTTTTGCACTCTTTGCTGTTCACTTTTAAATATAACATCATTGATTCTAATAACAGATGTCATAGCAGTAGCTACACTACATCTTTCCTTGCTTTTTTTGGATTCAGATGTGGGTCTGGCAGCTCTTTCTTTAGCCACAGGTATATTTTCTGCTTAAAGCCATAATACTGTAATGTAACTGGCTGATCTGCTTTGGGTCAGTCTAGAATCGTTTATGTACAAGATTCTTCTGTGTTTGTGCAATCCAATGCTGCAAGAATTCAGCTTGCAGACAAGGTTATATAAAAACAGTATCCATCCATCCATCCATCCATCCATCCATCCATCCATCCATCCATCCATCCATCCATCCATCCATCCATCCATCCATCCATCCATTGTCACTTTTATCTCTGCTGGGGGCATGAGTGGTGCTAATGCCAATCTTCAGCTCTCAATGGGCGAGAGGTGGGGTACACCCTGGACAGATTGCCAGTCTATCACAGGGAAACACAGAAACGAAGAACCATGCACGCACACACTCACACCTACGGAGAATTTAGAAAAGCCAATTAACCTAACAGTCATGTTTTTGGACTGTGGGAGGAAGCCGGAGTATCCAGAGAGAACCCACTCATGCACAGCGAGAACATGCAAAACGTCATGCAGCAAAGACCCTGGGCCGGGACTTAATCCTTCTTGCTGCAGTGCTACCCACTGTCCCACTGTGCAGCCCAAAAGCAGTATTCATAAAAACAATTACTAAATCTAAATTTATAATTTTCTTTCGTCATTTTAAATATGGCCCGGACTATTGCACATTCATTTAAATTACTTAATCATATAGATTTTAATGCATAAAAAAAACAAAAAACACAATTAATCACATCTTTTAATACAAACTTAAGTTCCAAGTGGGAACCTTTACACCAGTAAAACTGACACACATGTAGCATCAAAAGTGTTGGTCCAGTGGGGATAAAAGCCCTCTTAGTGTTACGCTATAACTATGGTTCTAGGAATCCCTGGGTGAATTCCAGTCACTCTGAACTTCTCAGTGAGGGGATCCCAGGAGGCTGACTGTAGCTGAGGTAGAGCGTCGAGCCGCTGGTTTTTAGACAGAAAACTATTAATCAATCTGACTGTATGGCCTGATTGAACTGTCTCTGTAAAGTGCCTTGAGGTGACATGTTTGAGTTGGTGCTATATAAATACATTGAATTGAACTGCATAGAATTATTTCCCAGGTTAAAATATAGACAAAACACTAGGGTGCTACGTAGAGTACTTTACTTTGTTTACATTATAAGCTTGACCCACGTGAAGCGGAGAGTTATAGCCACATTGTTTACTGTCACTGGCAGTTAGTCATGAAAAAAGACTCATATCGGCATCCACATTTGCAGCTTCCCACTTCAGAACAGATGATGAGCTTTAGCGTCAACTTCAGAATGTCCACTGTCTGAAAATGTCACAACTCCTTGGTAAAGTGGGTTGCAAGAGGGATTGTTTGTCTTAAGTAACTGGCTCAAGGAGAAAAAGTAGTTTTACTGGTGTATGTTTTAGATGCAATAAATGTCGATTGTTTTTGCCATTATGTATCTTTTAAGATCGCCTTGCCATTTTTAGTTTCGTCCACAGATTTTACTTCAAATTTAAGTTTAGACTCTGCAGCGTCCCTATAAAACATATATTGCTAATTATGATTAGAAATGTCCAGATGCAACTTTTTTATTTCCGCCATATTATGATATTTTAGCTCTGAGTATTGATAGATACTGATACTGATCCGACATATTAGCCCAATTATTACCTTATTTTGATTTGTAGTATATTATAAACGTTTTGATTGACTAATGGTATTTAAACAGAAAATAAAAGTTCACAATGGGTATGAGAACAACTGGCTGATTTATTGTCAACCAGTGGTTTAACAACATGACTCAATGTGGACAATACAATAATTATGTTGTAATGGACTAAATGATAGAGCAAAATACCACAACAGAGTGTTTTATTAGTGTTTTTTATTTTAGGTTGATATTTGACCGATTTCCAGTTCAGGACATTCCTAGTTATGATTATAGATAATTGATGATCAGATAAATGTTAGACGAGAATTCCTTTAAATGTTTCTCTTGGTGTTTCATCTGTGTTTTTCTATCTGCTTAGGACCATATGTTTTCTTTCTTAGGTATGTAGGTAACCTTCAGAGGATATTCGACTATTCACCCCTTGATCCCACTCAGGATTTTGCCACACAGATGTAAGTGACTCCTAAAAGTTATGTAATATGTTGACAGAAGGGAAGGTGTTTTCCAGTCCCCCCCTTCTGTTATTGAAACCCCAAAACAGATCTGATCACAACTATAAATTGCATTATAACATTTTTATTTAAATCAAAATAATTTCTTAACAAAGTATCTGTAGTTGAGGTAGTGATCTTTAGTTTTTTCTTTTAGTTTCGTAGAATGTGTCCCGGTTTTGTTGTTTGAGGTCATGTAGTTCAGCAGGCCAGTCATGCTGATGCTGATGGTGACAGCAGATATTAGACATGTGACTGTATCATACTCCTAAAGCACCCAGCCAAATAAACATGTTTACACTTTAAGCATGATATCATATGGCCATTTGTGTGAAAGTTTGGTGTCATTTTTAACCCTAATTGTTCTCTAAAAGTCATTAGAGTTGTGCTATAAGTCACCATGTATGATAAGAATAATTTATATGCTAGTTTTTCTTTATAAAGATACTGATGTGGTAATAGAGGAGAGTCAGAGTAACTTAGCCATCATATATGAAAATGAGTTTTATTCAAATTGCAAATTCAAATGTCTTAGAGGTAGACATTTTGATGTTATTATTTTTCAAGATTTGGATCAGGTGGATCAAAGTAACAACTAGAGGAACAAGGGTGTAATATCAGATAGATATACACAGTTAAATGTGAGATATCAATTTATTTATCTTCCTTCCATTTTGAGACTGTCCTTCATAAATTATTTTGTTTTAAGATAAATTTAGGGACTTTTGAATAACTCTTACTGTTATTGGAGCTGTATTCCTACAGGCAGGCAGTTACAGCATTTTATGTCACCGTGAAACTTAAAAACATGTTTAAAAAAACAAATCAGAAAGCTGCACATGGGCAATAACTTAAGGTTATTTGTGTGCTTACTGATATTTTGATATGCATGGTTATCTATAACTGTACAGCCTACTTTGAATGCATTAAAAAAAATTGTTCCCCTATAATTAAGACTGACAAGAAATGAAACTAATGTAAAAAAAAGTAATTAACGTTTGCTATTTATGCTGTGGCATATGCAGATAGAAGTGGAAAATGCTTAGCTTTTTCTTATTATTGCATCTTAAATGACTTGCATTTGTCCTGAAACCTAAAAACATAAATAATTTCAGCAATAAATAAAGCCTCTCTAAATGTAAGAAAACCTCTGAAGTTATACATGATGCCTTTAACCTCATCCTTTAATCCGTTGTAATCCTCTTAATGGTCCAAGATAATTATATTACCCAAGAATTTCACAAATTTAACAGTAGTCATTTTCAGAAAACAGATTTTTATTTCATGTGCTCATGGTTGTCTTTAAAGTGTGAAGGGGCAGGAAATTATTCTCAATGACAGTAAAACTAGACTGACTGCCTGTTTTTGTCCATCAGGGCTAAACTTGGACACGGGCTGCTCTCAGGCCAGTACTCCAAGCCACCCATGAAATCTGAGCTCATTGAACAGGTGATGAAAGAAGAACACAAGGTATTAAACGGGGTATGTCCTGCTCTTAAACTGGAAGACCATAACCAATGTTGAAAATGAGTGACTGAGTTGGTGGTTATGGTATCATTAAGCTGGTTTTAATGTAATAATGTCCGGATATAAGGAGGAGATGAGGTGTGTTATCGTAATAGACCAGGACCTCCTAGTTGGAGCTTCATTTTTAGCCTCATTATGCAGAATGACTAATGTGGCACAGCTGTGATCCTGAACTTCCTACATGTGATGGAGAAGACAGGTTTGGACATGTATTGACATCTGAGAGGAGAGCAGTGGTCGACTTGTAACCTATTTGCACACAGGAGTTCTTCACAACTAATAATTATTTATTTAAGGATAACCAAGTCTCTTCGAGAGTAGAGACTACTCTACCTGGGGTCCATAAGTATCACAGATCTATGATTACCTTAATTTTTCAAATGTATTTCCCTCTCACAAATGATTGTTTATTAAATCGTAATGGTAATACATCTTTCTTCTCTGGATGACAGAGAGATGAATGTTATGCTGTAAACATGTTTGACATATTTTATGTAAAAGACCGCATTAAGTAATGGAAAAAGGATGGACCATAGTTATTTAATCCTTTAAATAAAGATCTAGAGAGTATGAAATACATTTATTTTCACGGATTAACAGTTTAAAATTTTTCAGTCTGGACATAGTAACAGTTTTAACGATATGCAAAAAAAGATTTTAGTAAAAATGTTGCCTTTTCGCCTTTAAGGTTAGAATCAAACACTTTTACCATAAGTGGTGATTTTATACAAATCTATAATTTAAGATGCTCGTTAAATGTTATAAAAAGATGAAAACCGCTTATTTTATTTAAAACATTTCTGGCTCCATATTTTATTGTAAACCTAATTGCTGAACAATTCTACTGAATCCTGCATTATTATCTAGATTATAGTGCCGTGCTTTAACCGCTGTGAAAAGCGCCTTTTTTATTCTGAACTATTGTGACTTTATTTGATATTTCTGTTTTTTTTTTTTTTTGTTATTAGCACCTACAGAGAGGGATCTCTCCGCGAATGTTCAAGGCACTGGTAAGCAGGGGCCACCCAGAGTTTTCCTCCAACAGACAACAAGATGTCCATGAGTTCTTCCTACACCTCATCAACTTGGTGGAAGTAAGTCATTCTTAACGCCTGTTGTGTTATAATGAGGTATAACTTCTTGTCCAACACTCTGGAGGACAAACAGAACATTGTGAACCACTAGATTGACTACCAAATTAGTTTCTGATGCAAAATTACTTCATCTGTTGGACATGGATATGGAAAAACTTTTGATCAGTGACCAGTTTGTTCAGAAATGGGCAGATGGACTTAAAAAAAAAAAAAGAGGAGGATTGAAAGGATTCAACTCCACATCTTGTCAAATCTTTTCATGCACACTGGAAAAAAAGGAAATCTAGATGAGTAATTTTTTTTTTTACAATAAGTGTATTTGTTCTTGAATTGTCTTATTTCAAGTGCACGTTTATCTAATTATCTTATTTTAAGAATAAAAAAACTAATTCCATTGGCAAACTGTTATTTAGCTACTCAAGTTAAGGATAAATACACTTAATTTAGGAAATTTTTACTTATTTCTAGATTGTTTTTTTCCAGTGTAATCTTATAGGAAGTGCCCTGACATTTTTGTTTTATATCATCGGGTGTAAAAATAGAATCTAGACAGGACCTGTCCAGTCGGTACCCTTTCCTTTGCTCACACTGCTGAGAATATATGCCACCAACCCACCGTCCACTTTGATGGCATCACATTTATGATTAAGTTGTCTTTTCAACAACATTTTTCTCCAATGTTTCAATTTTTTTAAAATCTACTTGCTGACTTTTACTAAACAGTACAATACCCCCATGGATAGATCATAAATTCTTTCAGATGGTTCTCTGAGTGTGGAATTATTTACTTCTAATGCTATCAGTTGCATTTGGAAGGGAGACATTTTATGTTTATATGTTACAAATCTCATATGATGATGTCTCTCTGTTTAGTTTATTGTGAAATTTCTAAACTCGCCTTCAATCCAGTTGCTGCCATTAAAAAAATAATTAAAAAAAACCTTCCTTTTTTTTTTTACAGCCATCTATAATTGACAAACTGACTTATGCAGACTGATAACGAGGCTAAAACCAGAACTCTGTTGCTCTTCTAGCCGAGTGTATTTCACAAGTTGAGTGAAATTATAGCTTGTTTATTTCTGTAGCTTCTTAGAATAGTAGGCCAGCATTGCCAGAACTCTTCAGCCATGCAGACTGGTTTCCCTTTCAACTTAGTCTTCAAATAAATGGTGTTAAACCCCCAGTGAGCTCAGACGATGTAAGCATGGGAAACCTGAGCAGCCCCATTAAAATAATCGATGTATCTGTGTTTCTAAAAAGATGCAAATTTGTTAAAAATTAATAATAGAGGACTTATCTGAGATCTGGCTGACAGATGCTGGCATACTCCAATATTATGGCATCAAATGTCAGTACCTCATTATATAGAGCAAACGGCACAAACGTTTATTCTTCTTTTAAAGTGTTCTTTAACATTATTTCTTCCCTTTTAAACAAAACTAATTATATTGACATTTCTTGTCGAGATTTGTAAATTTTTCCGCCTATAATATGATTTCTGTTCCCTAATCTGCTGGTTTGTAATCTTTTATCACTGGTGGAACGGGTTAGTACTTAGCATTTAGTAAAACTTTGTTATGGATTTAATCGGGTGGTTTTTTTTTTAATCATGAAATGTTTTTTTGATTTTTCTCTGTAGAGGAACAGTGCTGGCTCAGAGAATCCAAGCGACTCCTTCCGTTTTTTGGTGGAGGAGCGAGTCCAGTGCTGTCAGAGCCGGCGAGTCCGTTACACTCAGCGGGTGGACTACTGCATCCAGCTGCCAACACCCATAGAGGCAGCTACTAACAGAGGTGCTTAGATTTAAGTTTGCAAATCTAATTAAAACCTAGACTAAATTACTGCTTATGATTTTTTTAACATTAAACTAAAATAAGCACAGTGTTCAATTTAATTTGGTTTATTTATATAGCACCAATGCATAACACATGTCATCCGAACACTTAACACTTTGCCAATGGAACAAGACAATTTCTATTAAAAATAAGAAGAAAACAGTTGCATTACTTTATTTCAAGTACATGTTATCTAATTATTTTGTTTTAGGAGGAAATATATTAATTCCATTGGCAAAACATCTTATTTATTTAATCAAATTAAGAGTAAATACACTTTATTCAAGACATTTTTACTTATTTCTAGAGTGTTTTTGCAGTGTATTGTCTGAACCGAAACCCTACACTGCAAAAATCATCTAGAAATAAGTCATTTCTTAAATGAATCGTCTTTACCCTTAATTTGAGTAAGTAAATAAGATTTGCCAATGGTATGAGTGTTTATACACTTAAAATAAGATAATTAGATATGTCCTTGAAATATGAATATGCAATAGTTTTTTCTTATTTTAAATGTAAATAGTTTTGTTCCATTACCTTCTCAATTCAAGTACAAATGCACTTAGTTTAGGAAAAATTACTTATTTAGGTTACATTTTTTTTTCAAGTGTGCTCTACAAGGGTCAAGGAAAAAAGCTCGCAGATTACTAGGACTACACAATATACTGCAAAGATATCACAACATCTGTGTGTGCAATATTGATATTGCTAAGTACACTTCAGAGTTCTACAATTATAGCACCTTTTTTTCCTGCCTATGCAGAGTTTGCCCATTTGACTCTCATGGCAGCAGATATTCAAAATTCACAGAAAAGACAAAAAAAATGTTTAAAGTTATGGTGATGAAAGCACTGATGAAAATAGAGGAAAAAAAAGAAAATAGATGTATCACCATTGATATAGTGATTGCAGCATTTATCAGTATTATCCTTGGTTGGCTAATAAGGTTCAGCCTTTACAAATACACACACAGAATTTAGTTTTTCATAAATTGCGAGAAATATAAAAGCTAATGTGACGTCTTAAATAATTGATGTTACATTTCCACTGCCATGTTGATATATTATAAGTTTTTTTTTTTTGTTTTTTTTTACAATATTTGAATCACTTGTATTATGATTAAGATATCATGAACTCTAATACTATTTTTTGCTGGGGAACTCATCTGAACCTCTGTAGATTATTTAAAAAATAATTATGGATAGAACGATCCCTCCTCAAAAGACTGTTAAACAACAAAAGAATGTATCTTCAGTCTGAGGTTTCTACAGATTCACAGAGAATCCTTCCAGCTTACAGATGTCAACATGTACAAAAATTCACTGAAAAAAAGTTACTTCAGCATTTAATTTCCCTTTGGGATTAATAATTGTTTTTGAATTGATGTTAAACTCTGTTCTTGCAGAGGAGCTGCTTGCATACGAGGCCAAGCGGAAAGAAGCTGAGGAGAACAGGCGGGCCCCTCCTGAACCGGTGCGAGCACGGATTCCTTTCACAGCCTGCCTTCAGGCCTTCACAGAGCCGGAAAATGTTCCTGACTTCTGGAGCTCTGCGTTGCAGGCCAAGTCAGCTGGAGTCAAGTGAGCATTCATGCATTTTTTTGAAATGCCTCATTCCATTTCCTGCTTTAAAGAAAAAAACTCCCTGCTTTAAAAAAAATAAACTAATTTTTAAACATTCTTTCCTAGAACCTCCCGTTTTGCCTCATTCCCAGAGTATCTGGTTGTGCAGATCAAAAAATTCACATTCGGTATTGACTGGGTACCAAAGAAGCTTGGTAAGTAAACCACAGCACTATGATGATTATTGGTACCTAAGATATATTGATCTCCAGCAATGTTGTGACTGGGATTGAATAAATAGTGTAAAACTAAAGGTAACCAGCAGATGGTGCCAGCAAGCTGCATCTCAGTAGGAGTATACTTTTCTGAAAAACTACCACAAATTGAAAAATGCTTCTAATGCTTTGTATAAAATATAATATATAATATATACGCTATGTAATATATATATAATCTATTTTATAAAATATAAAAAACAGACTTGTTTAAAATAGTGAATGAGCCAGTGGTCATTAATTATTGTGATTTAAGGAGTCACCAACCATAGGGGGATGGATCTCTTTAGCTGAAACCAGTATGTTTGTGTCATTTTGCAGACTTAGCCATCGATGTTCCAGACTTTTTGGATCTGAACCGCCTTCGAGCCACAGGCCTGCAGGCAGGTGAGGAGGAGCTCCCGGATCTTATGCCTCCCATTGTATTACCGGAAGACACCAGAGGTAAGACACTCAACATAATTTGCAACATTTGCATCAGCATGTGTAACATTCTCCTCTAGGTTTCAAATTGGAAAATAAAAGTATAACTCTTTGTTTCTTTTTTATTTTTATTCCCTATGATGAACCGTATTTTGGTGAGTTGAGTAATATTCATCCATTTTTCTGACTCTCACTACATGGACAGTAGTCTCCTATAATTTACAAGCAGAGGCCCTCAGCGATAATGGTGGTGATGCATGAACAGGCTGAAGGAAATGCTAAATGACATTCTTTACAACTTGGGGCCTTTTTTTTGGCCCAACATTTCCAATAACATAGCCCTGTTCTTGTTTGTAAAGGGCAGCATTTTCTCTGAGCATCTGCTCTTTTCTTTGGCCTTAGCAAATATTGGGCCTTTGTAAAGCTGTCATAAGTGCAGAAGTTTTTGGTCCAACCAAGCCACAACTTCCAGGTGATTCAATAAGTCAGTGTGAGTTGTTAAAAGAAGCTCCTAGACATCCTTCAAAGCTGACATGGAGTATTTTCTAGGGCCCAGTCATCTGTGAAATTGTCTTCGGTATGATATTTTGCTCAAAACCGGCAAACTTCTCTCCTAAGTACACATTCATTGGGAATGGCAGGGGAAGGAAACGCTCAGGCAGTTACTGGAAAGTCGTGTTCAAAGTGTGGCTAAGCCTTATAAATTGTGATTATTTCATGCAAGCCTCTTGTAATATACATGGCTGACTTTTGGGAGAACAGATTCTGGAATCTGGTCGGTTTTATTTTGGAGGAAATGTTGGTGTATCAGACTCTAACCTTTAGAAACATGGTTTACATAAAGCATATCCGAGCTTTGTCTTCCTTTCTTCCTAAAAGCTAAAGCCACAGCTTTTTGCCTCTGTCTGTCTTGTTAGAACCTCATTCTGTCGAAAAGCTAAACTACTTGAAATTATAATTAATATATTAATTAATATTTTAGAGCTACTGCAGATAGAGAGAGCTGAAGGAAACACTTTTAGATGGAACAAACAGGAGATGTTTTAAAAATATCTCAGGCTGCTGCGTCTCAGTAAACTTGGTAGAAGAAAGAATTTGAAGCTTTACTGTCAGAGTGCTCCTAAATATTTTAAGACTCAACAACTTGTGTCAAACAGTTAACTGATTTCAAAGATTTGATTAATCTTCTTTAGATTAGCAAGTTTGTATGGACACAAACATGAGCCAAAAATGATTTTGACTTGCAAATCAAAGTTTTTAATGTAAAAAAATCAGAGAAAAAAAAGATTTAACTGTACCTTTTTTTTTAATCACTATTATTACCAAAAAGCTGCCATAAGAAATATGTTCCCCTTTACAGTTTATTTTTTCTTTAGAATATATTGGAAAAAATTTGTCTCATTAGTAGATACATTAATTAAAGCAGCTTCTTAAAGATGGTATATTTGCCTGTACATTTTTCTTAAATTTGAGAAAAATTGAATTCAAAAAAATACTTTTGTGGTCACTTCACAGCTCTTTACAAGTTATAACATAAAATGTTTGTAAAAACCTCTGAAAATGCAATTTTGGTTAAATCTTTATCCATTGTCCTGATTGGACAGTGAAAAGTCAAGCTGTTGTGGCAAAGCAGCGTTTACTTGCACAAATATTAACTCTCAAACTCTGTAAGTTACAAAGCTTGATTTACAAACGCAAATAGCCTCTGGCCTTGAACTGCCTTATATACACTGTATTTTATACTTAGACCTGAATCTAACAACAGTGAAAATGTTTTCCAATTCGATTAATTTTGTGACTCCCAATCTGTTTATTCAAGGTTGCAATAACATCCTTTTACAGTTAATGGGATTAAAACTGTGAAATGAAAGGATGTCAGAAAATAACTGGTGTTTATCAATATGCTCACATTGGTTTGTCTTATATTCATTTCTTAAATTTTTGTCTGCTGCAAATTGACTTCTGGCTTGTTATCCCTCCCTGATGTCGGCTGTGATGGATGATTGGTCACTCTTTTGTCTCCGGATGCATGATTGTTTCACACTGATTACATCGCGGCCCACAAATGTGTGTTCTTGCGGCCAGATTCAACCAAAATCGACCAATTTACTCTGACATTTCTGACCGTTTATGGCAAGAAAATATTGGAAAGAAATTGTTTTGCTGTAATATTTCTTATTTTAATTTATCAATCAGGACTCTGATTAGGTTTTAAATTTTATTCTATGAGTTTAGCTCACCTTTTTTCTACGTTAAAAATGAAAAATATGCCACAACAAACAACCAACTACTTCATGTAATGTTGTATTTTTGTAATGTATATTTTTTTATTTAATCAAACTGTAACAGACGGAAGAAGCATATCAGAAACACAGAATGATTTGCTATGCAACTGGCTTTGTGCTGTAATTCTGGCCCTTAAACCCTACATAGAAGGTAAATATATCAGTTTTCTAATGTATAACCAACAATGATTAAATTCTAAAAGGTTTCCATATGTTAAAGTTACTTTTCTATGAAAATGGCCACAGAACATCATTGTTTTTGTAATATGATGTATTGAATTGTTTTAACCAGCAAATAATACAGTACATGACCATAATAAGATAGTTATTCTGTTTCAATAATTTCTTTAAAAAATACTAAAACTAATACATTTTAAAACTTTATGATAGTTTTAATGACTTGGACTCCCTATAAACAAAAATCCCATATTATCATTTTCTGAAAATTAGAGTTTTTCACATTACTGATTATTAAAAAAATAAAAATAGTGAAGAAACATTTTGCATTCAAGGTAATAGTTATCAGAAAGCTTGCTGATTTACTTCAGTTGTCCAGCCAACAGTCACTTACGTTCTCTATAAGTAGGGCAAATCACAAAAGTTTATTGCTGAAGAAGCTGGTGGTTCAGAGAGATTTATAGAAGCATATTAATATAAAGACGAGGAAATGACAAACATGTGGTGGAAAATGCTGCACTGCCCTTTGGACAGTTTTTGGGAAGATGATGAGTACTTTGCAGCTGGAGCCATACCTACATCAGGGAGACAAAGGACTTTTTTGTTAAAAGTCCTCTTTTCACAGGAAAGCAGATCCGAGCTGCTTCATTTCCTGTGTATATTTTCCACTGTCGGTAGGGAGCCAGTCTCCACTTGTAATAAGCTTAATAAGCTTAAAGTCAGCACAATAAACCAGAACACTATAGAGAACTTCAGCATCTCCACAAGGTGTTTCATTAGGAAGAAGCATGCTTTCATTTCCCAGCAGGACTTAACACCAGCTACCACAGCCAAAGGAACTAATACCTGCTCTAATGAACATTTATCAGCAGATTTGGCCTGAGTTAAACCCTACTGTTAAATACAGACCATCATCAGGAATGCATTCATCATAAGGGTGTGTGTGCAGATAAAGCAGCGCATAGAAATTTTAGCATATATACAAAACATTAGACTTCTGGCCGCAAAAAACAAAACGTTTCTTGGCTTCAGGAAAACATACTTTTGTTTATCATCTCTTTGGACTTAAAGGCACACTGTGTAACATTTTGCCACTAGGGGCGCTAGACCTGTAACTACCTGCATGTTGCTTCTACTAAACACCGAAAATAATAACAAAGATATATGACTGTATGCAAGGAGCAATAACAATGAGTCTAATAATAATAAGTCTAATAATAAAGTTGAGATAAGAGAATTGAGGCAATAAACAAATTCCTTTTCAAGATTGACTCTTGTTTCTACTCAGGCATGATCCCTTTCACTCTTTCTCTATTTAGCTTCCTCGGAAGGTTTAAATTTTTTCCTTGTCTCAGCCATTACCCGTAGTCAAGCAGACGGAAAAATAGTAGAACAAAAGTCTTACCTCCATAATGATATAAGAGCTTGCGGCCATAAAGCGATACGTTCTTCCGGGTCACATGACCTGGCCAGTGATGGTCAACTTACATAGGTGGTTTTAGAGAGGGGAGCTCTGCTTGTAGCATTGATAGTGTCAAGCACTGTACATTGGCCTTAGGAATCATTTAAATTAAGTCTCCAGTGTGCCTTTAAGAAAGGACATTTTCCTATGATCCTCAATTAAATTCTATTTTTGTTGACAATGATTCTCACTAAAATGCTCCGTTGAGCTTTCTTGATGTTTCGGGAATGTCTGTAAATCCTCTAAAGAATTAATCCTCCTGAGGCATTAACTGAGCTGAGACAAATAAACAAAAACAAAACAGCCCATATAATTAATCTCACTGTGCTGTTACCTCTTACCAATCATTCTCCTGATTTTTTTTCCTTTTTTTCCTCAGATAACTCGATGAGCTCAACTGACTGTAAGTATTTCATTTCTCTTCTGAGTCACAATGTTTAAACAAATGTGTTAGATGCATGAAAGTATTACATTGGAAAGTGTTTTTTTCCTATTCTGACAGTACTGATGAATGCTGTGACTACCCAAGCAGGTGCTGCAGATGCTCTGTACTTTCAGACAAACTTACCTTTTTCAATGTAGCTCTGCTTATTTGACTGGGGCTCATTTCTCTTGCTGATAAATCCTATCCTGGTAAAGATACCTTGCTGTGGCTTGATTCTGCTTTTTTTTATTATTTATAATGAGTCCCAGAGAGAGAAAGTTGCTGTTACTGCTGAATCAGTGAGTGTATGTATAAGAGTTGATTTATTATGTATTTTTTACTTTTGTCCACAGCTCCAGAGATAGATGAGAGAGCAGTTATGCAGCTGGCAGAGATGGGTTTTCCGTTGGAGGCCTGCAGGAAGGCGGTGTACTACACAGGAAACATGGGCCCAGAGATGGCCTTCAACTGGATCATAGCTCATATGGAGGAGCCTGGTAAGGCAGCAACCCCGCAGACATCATGGCAACATTGTGCTAAGGAACAGGGGGAATGTTTGACTATCACATATTAAACAGGGTTCTTTACACCGTCTTCATTCTCTTTTAATAACATTTTGATAGATTTGAAAAGTTTTCTATATGCAAGTGAGAGGGCTTAGATAAAACTGACTGTATGTGAGAGGGAACTTATCTCAGCTTGGCCAGCTAATTAAACAAAATGCACACAAGATTTATTGCCTTATTTTTTATTTTGATTTTTAGCTACTGGACAACCCTACGATTAAAAGAATATTTGACATATATAAGAAAAAATAAGAGTGATTTGATGATTTTGTTGAATCTGTTTAAATAGAAATATGTGAAATGTTGAGAAATTTTACAACTAACCCTTGTATGAAAAAACTTCTGGATGTACTGGATGTCAACTCAGAAGTTATAAAATGAGAGAAAAAACTCCTAGTCAATAAATACATTTTTATTCTTGGTACATACTAATGGTGTTTCTACAGTAATAATTAAATTAAAATACAAAACAATATCTTAAAATTTCACAGAATAGATCTTACAGCAAAAGGTGAATATGGTCATAATTATATCTATCTATATCTACATTATATTATATATATATATATATATATATATATATATATATATATATATATATATATNATATATATATATATATATATATATATATATATATATATATATATATATATATATATATATAAAAACTTTCCAGATAACTTAAAAAAAAACTTTGATATGTCATACGGACTATACATGATATACTAAAAAGTTGTGTTGCATGTGTTTTGTAATGCATGTAATCATCTTATTCATCAGAATTTGTACAGGAGAAAAATAAACTTGGTTTCTTTTAATATGTGTTATGACAAATTTAGGGCATAAAAAAATTGGTGCCAGATTAATTTTTTAATTGCATTTTGAAAAAATAAGATTTTTGTTGGCTTTCAGGTAGTTTGGGTATATGTGGGTTACAAATAAAGCAAAGCTGATGTTTGAATATATAGAGACACAGTACAATTCTTTTGAAAATGTCAATGTGTCAAAGCATCAAGCTTCCTGCTTATGATTTAAATTAAGATTCTTCCTCACCTTTGGGAAGTATAAAGGGCAATTTGCAGACTTTTACTAGTCTGTTAATTAATATATAATTAGTAGGATTTTAGAGTAGATTATTGATATAGACTTTTATTTTTTAATTTTCCATTAAAGAATATTTCACTTGTACAAAACCAAAGACTGTGTGCAATTTCCCTTTTCTTTAACTGCAACTATCGTTAATGGTTGGTATCGTTATTGTTATTGAGTTTTAAGAGGAAAGTTAAAACTAGAAAAACCAGACAGCATAGAGGCTGTATCTTTAATCAGAGTCCACAAGCTTCCAGAGTGTGCAGAGAGGAGACTGACAAAGAGCACCAAAAGGCAGGGAAAGTATATTTATTAGGGACCGTTTTGAACACAGAGGTAATTTGAAGTGATAGACACATCACATCTAATGTTCCCGTAGTCTGTATATATAGAAACTCTGGCGCTGTTATTGCTGGTACCACACTACCTCCCTTTCTGGGCTGCATGTATTTATCAGTGCATGTCCATGTATTTCTGATCCTCACCAAAAACTTTGTTGAAGTCAATCCAGAGTATCTGAGCTGCTCAGCAGTGAACTATCCCCTCAGGCATCAACTCGTGTCACTTTTTATTTCCCTTCCTAGATTTAAAGAGGCTTTGAAGAGTAGAAGGAAATTAGAGCCTCCTCCTGACAGTTACTTTTTAAATGGGACCAGTGCATATGCAAAATACATGCCTTCTTTTTTTAATATTTTATTTCTCTCACTGTATAATTTTGTTTCCCTGAGAATTTCATTTTATTCTAAACATTTTGACTCAAAGTTGCATATCTTTCTGCAAATTTCTTTACACTCTATTATTAAAAAGGAGATTAAACTCATTGATTTTTATTTTCATTAATTTGCACAGATCACTTAGAAGCTCTAGAGTCAATGTAGATCTAATAAATGTGAAGAAACATTAAAATTATTCAGAAATGTCTCTTTTTCAGCCACATACATAACAGAAAGATGTCCATAATTACCCTGTATTCCACTATGATGTTAATCCACATGATAGGGTGTCTGGTGTATTCATGATATTGCCAGCTGCTCAGATAATTTACAGCACATCTGCAGTTATGTTCAATATAATAACATTCCAATATGGCAACTCGGATAACAGCTTTTAGTAGAAATTCGATTTTTACAAGATGGGTACCAGGCTGCGGTTGACTTGATGCCACACAGATGTGAAGCAGTTAATATGGAATCTGCAAGCATTTTTTCAACTGAAAAAGTAAATTTCTACATTGTAAAGAAAAATACAGGAATTTCAAATTCTACACTTTTCATAGATGTATATAATATAACATTTTTTTAATCTTCCTTTATGTGTTCTGTATTAGAACAGCCATGCATCTCTTTCTATGGATTATTGAGAAAGTTGCATTATTAAAATGACTGATATATTTCAATAGTTTTCTTGTTTTTACAGATACTTCTAGGAAATTTTAAAGGTTTCCTTTGTATTGTGACTAACTAATTGAGAGTAGCATAAACATATAAATTAAGAAAATACTTATTTGCAAATACATGCAGTTTAGATTAGAAATAACTCCTTGTAAAAAAGACACAAATTATTTTTGAATGTGTAAGAATGGAGATTATTTACACACAGCACACTTTTTAAGATCTCCTTGTAGCTGCATCAGGCAGGGAAAACCAGTATTTACCACTAAACAGAATAATTCAGCATTGTCAGATATGTTAACAAGGTACTGTCTATCTGCAGATGATATGCTTGGTAATGAAAAAATGAATGCCCTCTTTTTGTCTACACTTTATCTACCAGTTAATTATTTTTTTATCTTCTATTGAAAGTGTTGCTTTTAATGAAAGCAAACCATTCTCTTTCTCTGGGAGCTGCTCGCCCTCAAGGACAATCTCGTACATTTAATCTACTATTCCGTCAGTGACTGCAGAAACATGTCTACAATAAGCCATAATAGAATGGTTTGTTAACCTGGTTCAGATGATAACGTCTTGAAGACAACCAATTTCATGTGATTAAAAAAACAAAAAAGTATCAGTGATGAGAACACAAGACTAGAAAGCAAAGATAGAAACGAACACTGTAAGATAATTGCTATGATTTTTCTTTTACGTCAATGACTCTAACAGAGGCTCTCTTTAGTACCAGTGCATCTATTCTCGAAAGCTCCTTGTTCCTGGTTGAAGGACATGTTGTCTAATGTCATTTGGTTAACGACACTTGGAAACCAGCCTCTTTATAGCTTTTTTCCAACGTTAAACCTGAAATTATGTTACCACATTAATCCCTGTTGACTCAATCTCTCTTTTTACTCAGAAATAATGCATAATAACTAGGATTTTGATTGATTAGCTCTGAAACAATTAAATCAAATTAATTGTGATTAATAAATTATCAAAATAATTGTCAACTAATTTAGTAATCAATTAATTTTTAACTGGAGTATATAGATTGTAAAACATGCTTTGACAAAACAACCCAGTTAGAGCAGTAATTATAACAAGATTGTAAAAAATATATAAATATTTTGCATTTGAGATAAATGCTGCTGAGTGGAGTAGTAGGTAGCACTGCCGCCTTTCAGTAAGAAGGTTCCGGGTTTGATTCCGGAGTCTTTCTGCTTGGACTTTGCATGTTCTCCCTGAGCATGCGTGGGTTCTCTCTGGGTACTCTGACTTCCTCCCACAGTCCAAAAACATGACTGTTAGGTTAATTGGCTTGTCTAAATTCTCCTTGGTTTTTTTGTCCTGTCCGTCTCTGTGTTTCTGTGAGTTGCTGGAGATCGGCACCAGCACCCCTCCCGACTCCGCTGGGATAAGCATGATGGAAAATGGATGGATGGATGTTGGCTGTCAATATGCTCTTCCAGAACTCCTCAAGTGGAAATGTTTTAGTTTCACCAGTTTTAATTTAATAAAAAAAAAAAAAAATCTTTAAGGAACCTTTGGCTATCTGATTATTTAACGATAAGTTAAATAATCAATTTGCAACATAATCGTTAGTTTCTGCCCTAGTTTCCATACAACACAGATACGAAAACTAAAGGGTCTCAGTGGCAGAAAAAACATGATTGTACCATTCAGTGCTGCTCAACTTTAGATAAATAAGCAATGTGCAGTCTTCATTCATTCATCATGCTTACCCTTGTAAGGCTGCTGGGCTTGACAGTGTGGCCCACATGAAGTGTGAATATTGCAAAAGCACTATGTTGTTTTATAACTTTTTGGTTGCTCTTCTCTGTCATCATGATGCTATACAGTGTAAACCTTAATGTTTGCATATGCGCTGGCACTTTCTGCACCAGGTTCTGAGTGCAGATTTTAGAAAATACATGGATGGAAACCTAATTAAGATCTGATGGTATCAAGGAGGAATTACTTTCCAGTTTATTTGCTTATATCAGTGACTGATGGTTGTCATTTCCTGATGGTTGTCATTTCCTGCATTCTTGTAGAAGATTGTTCAATTATTTAACTGATGATTGGTTGACAGATGTGGGTATGAGTATTTTAAGTTAACTTACCTGCACTTTTTAATTCAACACACTTTCTTCTCAACTTAAAAAAAATGTTTCCATTTTTAACCTAATAAATGTATATTCCCCTAAATGCTTACATAGGGACTTATTTAAAGCTGTGCAAATTCCATCAGTCTAGCTCCTCAAATTGCTCAATCATGCATCTTCCTTTACCTAGTATAAAAGTGAGAGATTTGCACAAACTTTAAATTGAGAAAAGAACTGTGTGCAAAAACTTTGTGAAATGTATTTCTTACCTCCCATATTTTACTTTGCTTGCAAATAATTTGACAAAATATAACTCTGGCAGAAATACTAGGGATAAGGAAAAAGTTATTTTCAGTACTGATGGTAGATATTGATGTTGAGGTCACATCAGGTTTTTGGAATAATGTGCAACTTGAACATGTCTGTAGAATCACATTCCTATGTTTTAATGAATGCTCAGACCTTTCCCTTCTAATGCGGTTTGTTTTCTGTAGTTTTTCTATACTTAATTTCTATACATATCTTTTCTATGTTTTTCTTTCATTCCTTTATCTGCTAGTTCATAATAACAAGCCAGTTGGCTTGTTATTATCAAGGACTTGAAATGCTATATTTTTGATGTTCCCAGTATATAAAAAAAAAATCCTCACTCTCTTTAAATTATTTTCCTCTTTTTTTTTTTTTTAACAGACTTTGCTGAACCTCTCACTCTGCCCTCAATGATGGATCCTCTTCCCTCCACTAGTGACAGCCCTGTAGGAGCCACTCCACTGGACAACTCGCCCCCTGAAGAGAGCGTCGCCATCCTCACATCAATGGGCTTTCCTCGTAATCACAGCATCCGTTCACTCAAAGCCACGGTCCGTCTTCTGCTAGCTGTTTTTATTTATTTGGTTGCTCTGCACTGACTTAAGATGATACCCTTCTTCTTCCGGCTTATTAGCTTAATATTGCTTGTTTTTAAAATAAGAAAGAAAACTCTGTTGTTGTATTTCAAGTGCATATTATCAAATTTTCTTATTTTAAGGGCACATACACTCATTCAGATAGATAATCTCATTTACCTGCTCAGATTAAGGGTGAAGACTTTTATCCTAAGAAATGTTTAATTCATTTTAAATATTTTTTACAGTGTGAAGCCATTCATTTTTTAGCAGTTAGATATGAATACAGTATCTTAGAATATTGCTTGTGTTTGTAGACTTTTGTCCTTTTTTTCTTAGGAAATAATAGCAAAATTTAAAGTATTTTATTGAGATTTAATGTAGTAGAGCAACAAATAGTTGTGCGTAAATGTTAACTGGGTTAAAAAAAAAAAGTGTTTTTTGGGGTGTTTCTGCCCATGAAAATCCTAATATACTTTAGCCCTTATTCTTTAAATCTTTGTAGAAACTGTTTCACTGAAATTGCTGCTGCAAGTCTTTTGGGGCATGATGACCAGCTTTGCACATCCCTGCAGCAGCAAAGTAATAACAGTAATAAGTGAGTTATTTGGGTAAACGTGTGCAGAGCTTGAGCTGCCTCAGTGTGGGCAGTCACATCAGACCTGCTAAAAGAGTAGAAATTTTAGATTGGGAAGCTGATCCTTAGTTTGAATTAGTTGACATTTCATATGAAAGTGAAAAAGTTCGACTTAAACAGGAGAAAGAATGTGGACTAATAACAGTCTAAATAGTGTGTTGAACATCTCTAAGGAATAAAGGACTAAAAGCACATCTGTAGAAGCTGTTTGGCACCATAACAAAACAAAACCAGCGCTTTGTTGAAACTTGAAGGAAAATGGGGCTAAACTTAAAAACTGAGACTTAGCTTAAAGACAGGAGAAGCAGAAGGAGGGCAAGAAGTGAAGAAGCTTTTGAAAAGAGGGCAACAACAGAGCGAGGAGATGAAAAGCCAACCCTGTAAGTCATAAAAGGCTCTGGCTGCCCTACTTGTTCACTTTCCAAAGTACAGATTTGTTTGGCCCTGTGTGTCAGACTGATTAAATATGTCCGCTCTACGCGGTGTTTACAAATAGTCCTTACAGCACACCAACACCTCCTCCCCTCACCTCCATGTGGTGCAAACTTTCTGCTTGAGGGACAGGAAGTGTTTCGGGAGCTGATCTAAACATTAGACGACTACTAAATGTGTCGAAAACATAAAACAGTGTGAGAAATTATAAGCTTTGATTTCAAAGAGATTCCACTTCATGGACATTTATTCCTAAAGCCTTCAAATGGCATCCAGTTCTCACATTTCACGTGTCATATTTCAAACTGCCCCCCTCAGCAAAATATAGCCCAGTAAACAGTTGTTAGAAAACCAAAATAGATACTGGGCTTCTTGTTTATCATTAGCAAAGCCACAGTGTTCACTGGCAGCCATGCTGTTGCTGTTGTTGAGGTGGAGAGAAAACAAAGACTGCTTATACCTCCCAAAGGAGGGAGGGAGGTATATACGACAGAGAGAGGGCTTGACAGACATATTTAGCGTTAAGGATGTTTATCTGACCCTAACAACCTCTTAGATGGGTAAACAGATGCCATCAGCCAAACCATCTCCACATACGCTCCCCAGACTCTCATTCTCCACTAGTCACACCTCTGCTGTGGATTCAGACATCTTCAGGGAGAGTTTATCACAGATGGATGCCTCCCACCTCTGCAGTTAAAGCTTGCTCATTTATCGTCTTCATCATAAGTCCATACACCATAGCAGCGAAACTATAAGAGGAAACATTTCAAATCCTATTTTCATTCTCAAGTGCACCTTTCGATAACCAGTCATGCTACTATTTTAGATCCATGTATTTTATCATATCATGGGGTAGGAAAACTCTTACGATGTGATAAGAGTGGGGAGTACAACAAGTTTTATTTCTTTTTAAAAATACAAATTATAAAACATTTTGTAACACCTTTTAATTTATATACAGTCAAGTTCAATCCACAGAATGTTTTTAAACTGACTCACCTTTTCTGTAATTTATTTCCTAGTATAAATTCAGCTGTTTTTTAAAGGCCTTGGGTTTCTTAGAGAGCTTAAATGAATCAAATGGCATCATGAAGACCAAGTACCATGGCCGAGGCTACAAGAGAAGCTTTTTGTACATGTTTTCAAGGAAAAAAATAGTCTGGCATTTTCCCAAAGCTATCAATAACATAACTTTCAATTTTTACTAAGCAGGACAAGAAGGTGTTTTTTTTTGTTAAAGAAAAGGCAAACATAATATTTATGGAAAAGTAGCAAGAAAAAAAAAGCCCAATGTGGAGTTCTTAACTGGGAAAAGGGGAAAAGTGTTTATAGCTGCTGGGAAAAAGAATGGAGTTAAACACACAATGGTCCTAGGGGAAAAAAACAGAATAAAACTATAAGATGAAAATGTGTTTAATCTTGCAGTAAAACAACAACCCTAATTGTTAAACTGAAGCTGCAGTGGAAGTGTTTAGACAAAAGCATATGCCTGTATTGGAATGGCCTGGTCAGAATTACGTATATGGAAAATTATCTTTTCAGTTTAATGCAGATTTTGCTTTTCTGAAATGGCAAAAGAAAAATCAGCCACAATTTAAGTGTGGAAATTTAAAATATACAGAACGGACTTGAGCAAAATGCTTACAATCTTAATTAAATGTGGTTCTACAAATGGCTGATTAAGAGTTGATGAATACATTTGCATGCCACACTTTCTTGATTTTTATTTTGTTAAAAAAATAAAATAAAACCATGCATCCTCTTCTTTCAACTCCACATATACATGCTACTTCACACTGGTTAAGCAAAAGATTTCTAATAAGAAATGGTCTGGCTTTGTAAGAAAATATGAAAGCTACTGAAGGCTTTAAATGCTGTTTTTTTCCCAAACTCAACACAAAAACTCTAAAGTCTTTATTTTCATTGCACAGTCATGCAGTGTACACCAGCTCAACGAAATTAGGGCACAGCTCTCTCCTCAGTGCACAGTCTTGCATAAATTTCAAAATAAATAACTAAACAAGGCATGCACTTACCAAAATAACACTTATGGAAGCTACTACAAATGTTTGCTATCTGGCAGCGTTTTGCAGCTGCATCTTATTTCGCTTTTTCTATACTGAAAAAAAGAATCTATTTGAACAATTTTCCTGTTTCCAGTAAGGTTTTCATTCTTTTATGATTTTCTAGAATAACAATCTTGAACGAGCGCTTGACTGGATCTTCACCCACCCAGAGGATGAAGAGAGCGATGCCCTGTCAGATATGGCAGACACAGAGCCCAATGACAACGCATTTTCCAACACCAACTCGCACAGCGACTCCACATTGTCTCCAGACAGAGAAACATCAGGCCCAAGAGTCAAAGATGGACCAGGACGTAAGTCTCTCATATTTCTGAGGTTGCCTCCTTTTTTTCTTTTCATGGAATTTTGTTTAATTATATTTAATTCTATTTTATTTTTAAAATTTTATTGAAATTCAATTCAAAGAATTGCAGCCTGATACTGGGCAGGATGCAATCTATGCAACAAGTCCAGTCATTACTTTACCTTGTTTCTAAATAATCCACCATCAAATGTCAGTTGTATATCATGTCAGTTATACAGCATTATAACAAAGTGGGAGAAATTGGGAACAAAATTGGGTGGAAAAAACCCCCACTAGTTTTTCTGCAAACTCAGTCAGTGGCTGTAGAACAGCTCCAAATGCAGTACAGTATATGGACTTCCAAAAATTCACAAGGAAGGAACACCCGTAATATCATAACCGCCTCCATGGGAAACACACCACATGACATAGAAAGCTTCAAAGACTTTGCAAACAAAGTCAAACATTTAAAGATGGTGCCAGGAGAAACACTGGTGTCTTTTGATGTTCTCTTTCCATGTGC